CCTGTCTTAAGTAATTCAGAATAAGGAAGTTTCAATAGTCACAGAAGTTGTGACAAATTATGGGATTTCACCCTGTGCTGGCCAAGCACCTTCCTCTTTCACTGGTAGCAATGGGAGCTGAAGATGTTTAGGACCTCAGCGGAGCTCTGACAACATGTACTCAACTTCTATGAAACACTTGTAAGAAATACCCTCATGTTGGACTGTGGCTTTTTCAGGAAATCTTTGCTTCTATGTTTTTGGCTTTTTTTTTGCTGTCACTTGCAGCCAACTCTTCTCTAACTGGAGGCATTGATGACGAATTTTCTAGCCCAAATTTCACAATTTTGAACTTGTTTGTTAATGGCATTTCTCAGCTATCATTAAAAAAATCCCAAACAAACCCTTCCCTTATTTTGTTTTTATTATAATTTAATGTAACCTGAAAGAACCATGAGGCCTGGATCCCTTTCAGTTTTTTAACTGCAGTACAAACTGTGACAATTTTCTGAGATGGAGAGCCCATCTGAACTGATACTGGAAATGACGTGTCTTTATCCAGAGGTACAGACATTCTTTTTTGAGGCTTGTTTTACGCTTTATAGGGATATATTTGTTTGTCTCAAATGTTTTAAAACTAGAAGGAATGGCCATGGTGCTATCATCTGCCCATAAACATGGTGTAGGTCACAAAAGACAAACTCCAGTGGCTTTTGCGCCAAGCATATTTTCCAAAAGTAGAACACATTTTTGGAAAACTTGTTTTTGCTGACATGAATTTAATTCTGTAAAAAATCAAGGCAGCACTATGAGCAGATTTGAACTGGGAGAAGTGGTTCTCTTTTTTTCCCACTGCGCCTGGCCATCAAATCCCCACAGCTGTCGGCTGTGTGGCAGTGGAAGGATAGAGGCAATGACAGCAGCTAGGTGAAGATTAGTTGCACCTGAATTTATGTTTTTATTCATTAAGTCTTCTTCTATAGAAAATGGAGAAATAGGTATATTTGTAGAGTGATTCATCCAGATATCTTAGAATAGGATGAACTGGCCCTTATAGGTGTTCCAACTGTCTTTATTAGACACAGAAATCTTAAACTACTAATTTAGACTACATTTCTAGTTTCAGCTAACAGCTCAATCTACATTAGTGTTTGCTCATAAGACACTTGAGTGACAGATGATGGAGGATTGTTTCACTCAAAGCACTTTTAGAGTTTTGCAACTTGACCACCTACACAACATAGCAGCTAGTTCCCACTGCTCATGAGAGAGAGACCTGAACACGTTTTTTCGCAAGCGATGTTTCACAAACATGCTGGCCTTAAGGTCTGGGAAAAGAAGAAGCTGCAAAGTAGCTGCTGGTTATAGTTTCCAAATGTTTATTTTTGACATTGGTTAGAGTTGGTGGATGTTGAGCTATCTCATGACTTCTTTTCACGTCCTATAATTGGTTTTATCCAGACTGCAATAATGTGACCAATATTTTAACCAGGAAGGTCGCTGCCTAACCTCATTGCATCGGTCATACCAAGTGACGCTACGCAGAGCATCACAGGAAACATCAATACTGCTGCACTGTGGTGACCTTAACACAATACCGGCAGGGATTCAGCTTTCTGGAGTGTTCACAACACGGGTGTCTGCACATGAGTTAACTGTCTAAGCTTTCATTATATCAACACAAATCTAATCAATATGCTCAAATAGCATCCAGAGAGCATTTCATCTGACCACACGTAGGAGGTAAACTTGGATCATTTGTGCAGATCTCAGGAGCTCACCGAATGTTTTGACTAACACCAATGACTATGATGAAAGCCTAAGCCTGAGATCACATGAAAACACTGAGTATGCAATCAAAGTGCCTAAACAGTGCTTTGCTGTGCTTTTTGGAGAAATCCCTCTTCCCTCCAGTGAATCTGAGACATTGACACAGGCCTGCTGGCTCTGACAAAGAACGTAGAGGGGATATGTGGCTTCTAGACTGGTAGTTGAAGGTCAGCTGGAAACCTTCAGAAGCCTTAATGTCACTAGACATTCAGGCAGCTGAGTTGAGCCACCACTTTCATAGAATCATAGAACCATAGAATGGTTAGGGTTGGAAAGGACCTCAAAGATCATCTAGTTCCAACCCTCCTGCCATGGGCAGGGACACCTTCCACTAGACCAGGTTGCTCAAAGCCTCATCCAGCCTGGCCTTGAACACTTCCAGGGAGGGGGCATCCACAGCTTCTCTGGGCAACCTGTTCCACTGCCTCACCACCCTCTCCGTGAAGAACTTCTTCCTGATAGCTAATCTAAACCTCCCCACTTTCAATTTAAACCCATGACCCCTTGTCCTGTCACTACAAGACCTTGTAAAAAGTCCCCCCCAGCTTCCTTGTAGCCACATCCGGTACTGGAAGGCTGCAATAAGGTCTCCCCAGAGCCTCCTCTTCTCCAGGCTGAACAAGCCCAATTCTCGCAGCCTGTCCCCATAGCAGAGGTGCTCCAGCCCTCTGAGCATGTCCCATGAGAAACATGGGTCAACAATGGCGAAGGGTGCACGTAAAGGCAAACCTTTTGCAAAGACTGCAGCCTGTGAGGGCAAGATTCAACCACCCGGACATAGGTGCCTAGAGGCAGTGTAGGCTCTGTGGGGCTTTGGGAAGTGCTAGTTTCTCAGAAATCCTGTTTCTTACCTGCACGGGTGACTTGGATACCCTACAGCACCTCAAGTACACTAAACACATGTTTTGGGAATTGGATTACTGCCTGGGCAAATCACAGTTAATAATTATATGGGCTATAACTACACACAAACCCAGTAGCCAGACACTAGGGAGGGGTACAGTACTCAACCATAGCACAGTGATTGAAAATAAGACCATAAACTTATTAAAAGTGCAGGTGATTATGTGGACTGAGCTGGAAACAAGACCCAGATTCCAAATCTCTGAAAGCAGTGCTCATGTCTGCAGGCACGGAAGAGATGCTGGCACCAGATGTGTCCTCCTCCCAGTGGTGTGGCTGGAATGGAGCAATCCCCATGCTCACACAGGCAAAGGAAATACTCAGTCACACAAGCATGGGGAATATTTCCCGTAAAGGAATCACTTCATTTTGAGCTCTCGGTCTTCCTGCTCAAGGGAAATCCACAAAAAAAATTTCAGAAAACTGCCTGGCAACTGAAAATCAGAATTTCACAGGATACCAAAAAGCATGGGCTAAAACTGTGCCATCATAACTTTAATTCTCTCTCAAAATGAATCTTCCATGGTTTGTAAATTACCCTTTATGTCTCTCTTCCATCCAAAACATTGTTACCCCTTGTCTTCCATTTAACATTTTCTCATAGTGAGTATGCATTACTTTCTTCTTCTAGGAAAGGATTAGTGTTCTGCTCCTAATCTGAAGAACTGTTCTGGCACTGCTGTGAGAGCTTCTGCTTCTACTTCATACCTGAAGGAACATGTGATCCCTGTTTTTGGGGTTTTTTTTAGGATATAATTGGTCTAGCAAGAAATATCATCTTTTCCTATAACTCTTTTGTTATATTTGTAGACCATCCCTGCTAAAACATCATAAGCAATTTATATCTACATACTTCTTAAGCAATTATTGGTTCAGTTGTCATCAGTAGCACTTGCTTACACAAGAATACGATCCAATAGCATTGCTACTCAGGTTTCAAATTAAAGAACCAGTACCTAAATCAACATGTGAAAAAAAGATTCACATTAATTAACTTCATTAAAGCCTTTTATTTACTGTAATTTAATTTTAATTATTTTAGATTTTTTTTTTATTTTAATAAAGTATATAATAAATTCAAGTTAATTTTCAATTATACAGTTTCTTATCTTTGAATAGTAATTAGACCAATTTTTACTCTTAGGTTTAGTAAATATAATAACTGCCAATTCTGTTCTTTATTTATGAAGGTTACAATTTAATAAGCTTCCGATAGAGACAGCTAAGCAATGCAAAATATTGAACAGATATATCTTTATAAGGTTACACATTCTTTTCTCAAAATGCAATTACTTTTATTACAGTAAGCTGAAACCTTCCTTTGAAGCGTGTTGAATGACACAGATGTTGCATAAGATAATACATTTTGTTATGGTTATATGGCTTCTAATGCTGTCAGCTGAGTTACAAAGACTAGAGAGAAAATGGACAACCCCTCAAACACCATTTTAATTGAGGATATTTGAAAAAAATGCAGTTAAGCTGAAGGTCAAGATGTCTTTTTCAGGAACTTTTTGTATGAGAAGTATTTTTGACCAAGAAGTGTGATTTTTAAGCAAACTTCTTCATCCTTTAACCCACTAAAATTAGGAGGTATTTACTTATTACTGCAGTAGTAAACACTTGAAAGACCCTTGAGCAAAGAGGTTTATTTATCTGTTATATGATGTGGTTACCTGTGATAGCAAAGGACCAGTTTCAGTGATATTCTAATCTTTCCAATCCAATCCAATCCACATTTCCAGGCTTAAACCCAGTTCCTAAACACAAAAACATGAGGACAAACAACTCCACCTACACTTGCAAAGACATACACTTCCCCATACTTCCACAAAGAGTGGAAGTTGAGGAAAGAGAAACAGCATGAGGAAGTCTAATAGACTGATGTAAATGAGCCCCAACTGGTCTAACTACCCATAGGCTTGTGTGGGGTGATGGAGCTCAGAGCCAGCTGGTTGCTTCTTTCTCTGGCTTTTGGAAAACAGACCTGAAGTTTCATGCCAGAACACTTTTTTTAGTGTTTGGAAGCTAGACTTGGGTCTTGAATATTAGTGCAATTAAAACATCAGTGACACAATGATATGACAAACATAATTTATTATGAAACTTTGATGTAGCAGGTAAAATTGTGATAAACTATACAAATTCATTTATTTTATAATAAATAATAATTAAGACTATAGTCCCATAGTGTTTGGACAGAAATCCATTCTGACCTGGTACTCATGAAATGCTGCAAAAGTGAGCACATAAAAACATACAGCGTGCATATGAAAAAAACATTGTCATTAACAATTAAACCAGCTGATGCTCTTCATTTGTCTGACAATCCGTTTGGCACGAGGATCAAACTGGAACTGAGTTGTTCCATGGAAGAAGTAGACATAGCCTAGAAATAAAATTTAATCCCATTATATTTCATAGGTGGCTTCTTTTCAGTATTTTGGTAAAAAAAACCCAGCATAAACAATTCATGTATACTTCCTATTTTTCATTTCCACCTCATTAAGGTTAATAACAGATTTCTGAAAACAAATTATTCTAGTAAGCCCATATATTCAAGTAAACCCAGATTAAAAGTATGCTTTACTTACCATCTTTCTGGAAAGCAGCATCCACTCTGCCAATTTTTCCAAAATCAGAGATTATTTTCTTGGGATAACCCTGATCCATGGTTTTTTTGTTTTCATCATATCTTAACACAAGAAACATCATAACAGTTTGTGAGAAACCAGACAGTATTTTGAAAATAAAAATAAAATTCATGCACAGATGCAACTCTACTGTTACTAAGAAGTCATAAAGATTAGCTAAAGTAGCTTTTTGATTCTTCCTATTATGCGTTAAGGTTCTCACATTATGAGTGTCTTCAGATTCAAAAATCCTGCCTTTTGTAAGGTTCATAACAAGACTTTTAATGATCTTGGAAATGCAACCCAGGAGTATATTGATGCATTTCTGGATTGTCCAGAGCCATGGCTATCACATCACTCATCATAAAACGAGTTTTTATTTTGAGGCACTGGATATCCAGTTCAGTATTAATGCAAAACACAAAACTTGAGAGTAGAAGATGGTAGCACAGTCTTCTTGTATTAGTGTCAACCATTAGTGTCAACCAATTAGCCCTTGTATTAGTGTCAAGCATGTACTTTTAAACAAAATTACTCTCTGAACTTTGTCAGGAGCTAGACTTGTATTATAAATACAACAAACTGTACAACTGCAGAATGTTTATGGTATGTTCATAGATTCAATGCCAAGACTTTTTATTAGCAGTTAATTTTGTTTGAAATGAGAATGAAAAGTGGACACTAACACAACATTGCCCAGAAAACCAGCACTGTTGAGAAAAAGTGAATAATTTACTAGAAAATCACTCTTTTATTGGTCTGTTATTTCATTGAATTGCAAGTAATTACATTCCTGTTACAAGAATCTAATGAATGGTGGGGGGAAAACCATCCATAGAAAAGTTGACATTTCCTAGCAAATGCTTAAAATTTTTAAACTTCCAAAGAATCCTGTTTAAATTTTTGGAATATAGCTTGTTTAAATATCATTAAACTAGAAATTTATTGAAATACATCGGTCCGCAAGGAGAAGTGAAAGTATTCCTTCTAGTAAATGAACATTATATCTTACCTCCAGTATCTGTCAGCTACAAAGAAGTAAGTTTTTCCTGTGGTTTCATCACTGTAAGCTGCATTAACTCTTTTAACAGTCTTCGGAAATCCCAAACGATAGATTGGTTTAGGGTAGCCAGGTGCAATGTCATATCCCCTGAGAACCCAATATTTATCCTCTGAAAAATATAAGCATGTTTTGTTTGGTTTTGCCATTTATAAACAACATTTAATTGTGTTACAGATAAGTAGCAAGCAATGTATCTTAGATAACAACATTATTCCTTTCAGTTGATTACTGTAGAGAATGGTTCTAATACTTACACTGGGACTATATCATGAAGACAGTGGAAATGTCTTGTTTTTATGAGTAAAACATTTGAATCATAAGGTGTATCAACAGTACTAGCAGTATTTTTCCCAGATTTTTTTTTCAAATGAAATATTTGTCTGGGAAACAAATTGGCAAGGGCTGGAGAATGATGAGTTAATCTACTGACACTGGATTGGGATGCTGAGTTTATTAAATGCCTGTAAAATGCTATTTGATTAAAGAGCCATATAATATTCTGAAAACCAGACAATGTGTATTAAATTAAACAATTAAGAAAGGTATATGTGTAATCAAAATATGTGGGTAATTTCAGATGCAATGAGCATACATATACAGTAATATAGCATGTACTGTCATATGTGCATAGTGAATTTGAGACACTTAAAGCATGTTTGAGAGCTTTTAAGAAAAGGACTATTTGTTTTTCAGTGGACAATTTTCCTCTCACAATAGGATTTTCCACCAACGGGGTTTTTTTGGGTTTTTTTCCCAAAATATCAAAAATACTAATAAGCATATCAGTAAGAGTAGTGTACAAATGTCTGTATTTGCCAGATGAATTCAGCAAAAACCCTTCTGCCTGAACTGAAAAGTTGTTACCTGATGAGCACTAAACCTGAAGAAGGGAAGCTATTTTCATGTCTTGTTTTTCAGAACATTAACTGTAACAGAGGGGCATGTTTTCAGGATTACAACCCCTGGAGATCCCTCACAGCAGTACAACTCCATGATCACCTGGTTTAATTATTTGCAGATTTGTAAGGTTCCCTGTTTCATTGATCTCCTGTAATTGCATAGTTTGCAAGGCAGTAGGGAGTAACTGGTCAGAAAAAGTAGAGAATTTCAGATTCCATTACCTTTAAAAAGTAAAACTTCATCTCTCTCAACGTTTTCATAAGCAGCTTGAATTCCTGATGGTAACTTCGGCCAGAACAGCGAGATAAAATTGAGCTCTGTCTCTGCCCTCGCAGGATGTTTGCGCAGCATGTATCTGGTTTAAATAAAAGTTACGTAATAAAATAGTTCCACTCCGATCATAAGTGCAAAATAATTATTATAGCTCCTAGAGTATAACAGGGGGGAGATGGGTAGCTGGGTGTGAATATCCCCCTGCACTGAATGTAAAGGAGATCTAGAGCAAGTGCACTCTTGAGTTCAGCACTTTGGGTAGAAATCAGGCAAGATGTCTATAAACCCTGCTATTTCTTTCTAGGACAAGCAGTCTAACAGTTTGCTGCAGTAACCATTTACCAGAAATCTTTCTACATAATAATGCTTTCAATTCTGCCCCTCCTAATTTACTGAGGACAAGCAGAAAGGTTAGAGTGTGAGACCTGTGGACACATTGCTGAGAGATACAGATATGCTCTTGATTTGCTATTAGTTGGAAAACAACCTAGAAGCCCTCATCTCCTTCACTGCTCTTGTCCATCTTGTCTTGATTAATGATTTAAGGACTCACACTTGTGTAAATACATGGTTGTTTTCTAGGGCTTCTCTTTTTACTACATTCCAAAAGAACAGATTTCCCTCATGGATTACAAAATATTTTAAACTACTGAGTATTTTGAGGAGATAATATATATGCTTATTGTTGTTACCTGCCCTTGAAGAATATTATTTCTCCGCGCAGGGTAGTAATAGCATCAAATGTCAGATGCGGGTCACAAGCTCGTGGAGTTACGGGTCCTGTTGGCTGCACAGCAGCACTAGACTGCCCTATAGGAAGAATATTTTCTCTTTTAGTATGGAGAAATGTAAAGACAGTATTCAGAAGATCTCTGAGGACACCAAGAACCCTTTTACAGAGAATGAGAAGGCACATCATTTTAAAATAAGTATCTGTCACTAAAAGCAGGCTTTTGATGTTGGCAAGAGTGGTTGTGTTCATCTTTTCCAAAATGAGTTTTGTGCAGAACTGGACTTCAGCTGAAGTTAGCTTTGAGGAATTTTCTCTTTTGTTATCCATTGTTCAGGAACAGATAATTTTTTTATTTTGTGGAATAAGTATATTTTAAATATATTCTTATTACTGTTCACCAGCTTCCCAAGTAGAAATATTAAACAAAAATACTTTTTCTTACCATAGATGGCTTGAATGCCATCAATGTCATCCTGAGGAAGAAGAAATTCACTGGGGTCCGTGTAGGAGTAAGTTGGATACATCAGTGCTCCAGGATCACTTGAATGAGACAGACCCAGTGAATGGCCCAGCTCATGGGCAATAACAATGAACAAATTATAGCCTGTAGGATAAAAATCATATGAAACAGTGTAAAATCTGTTTCAGTATTCAGCACAGTTGACTAAATAAGAAACACTTATGCACCCTTCTACAATACACTACAGGTACAAGACAGGCTGTAAGTAATGCTAACAACATCACAACTCAAAAATATTGTAACAGAAGACCTATATGAGTACTTAAAGAATGCCCAACATTAATTGTGGTGTCGTCATTTCTCTAGTCTTTTAGTGTCTTAAATGTGAACCCTAATGTCACGTAAACTGCTCAGATCAAGGATCATGCCAATGGCGAGCAGAGGTTCAGTGATCCAACAGAAAAAACATTCAAAACAAACATCGAGATGACAGTTTTGGTGATACTTGAATACTCTAGTTAACACCAAAATCTGAAGTGTTAGCTTAAGAATGGTGAAGGATTTGATGTGAGAAGTTCACCACGAGATCTTCCTGTATTCAAGTTGGCGGTTTCATCTGAACAAAAGAAGTATTTTAAAGTGCTAACTTAGCTGCCATCATGAACCACTGACCTAAAAGTATCTTTTTTTGTGAACTGATTCCTACAAATGGAGAAAAAAAAAAAAAAGAGAAAAGCAATTTAGAAAGAAAAAAGGACAAGTTCTGACAATTTTGCTCACTTTTTCTGGAATCAGGCCATGAGCTAAGCATCAAGTGAGCTAAGATTGTACGAGGCAACACTCTATAACGGAACCAGTCACAAAGGCCTTACCTCTTCCATCTTTTGTCCAGGCTTCCTCCTCATCAAGATGCACATCTCCACCAATACCTTCACCAGGCTGGAAAGCATGAGCCAGCTGCCCATTGGGGCCATCAAAAGGAGAGTTGTCTTTGTGGTCTAAAATGAAGAGGGAAAAAAATCAATCAGAATCCTAAATTATGTCTATGGTTGCAGATGGCTACTTAATATGTAAAGATATCAATGTTACCTCTATAAGCAAAGGAGATCATTATATCTGCTTCATTGTCCTCAACCTTTTTGAATGTCAGTGGTGTCACATTGCTCCAGACACTGAGAGCTTTTTGGATTGCTTCATCTACATCAGCTTTTCTCATCTTCAGGGTGTAATTCAAAATCCTTCAAAGAAAACCCAACATATTATATGTTGTTAAGAATACAGCATTTTAGCTGAAAAACAGTATCTTGTGCAAACATCAGAAATCTTAGACATATCTTTAATGAATGAAAATTAATAAAGTCTTTATTTTACATACTGCCTTCTAGGGTGCCTGTGTTCTTCCAGAAATCAGCTAATCACTCTGGATGTCCGTATTTGACATAAGGGACTTTCTTCAGACCACTCCCCCACCCCCCATAGTTAGGATGCTATATTTATATCTTTTTGAACCAGGTTAGGAAATGTTACCTGTATGTCAGATTATTTCTTTTCCATTTGGGATTCCCTGCTGTGAACACATACTGCTCTACATCAGGTATACCACATCTGGGTTTTTTCATCATCTCCAAAGTGTCAAGATCAGGTTTCCCGGTCACTTGTAGTCCAAAGAATTCCTGCATTTCCTTGAGCTTTGCAGAAAGGGTATTTTTACCCTTGTTTCTTAAATGAGGCTGGTGATCCCTTTGAAGGTCATAGAAATTCTGTAGATAACTCTGAACCACATTTAAAAAAAGAACATCATCATGGCAATATCAGTACTGCATTCAGTCACACTTAAAATTTATAAGTAATCTTGAACTATTCCCATACTGACATGCCCTTTGTTCACCAGGAGAAAGAACAGCCTATTTTATCTAGGAATGATGTGAAGAGTTATGAAATAACTTAGAGTTTTCATAAATTTTTCTAAATGTCTCATTTCACTTATGAAAAAACTCTTTAAAATCTAATATTTATTATTAATAATTAATTCCATATAATTAATGGTAGCTGATTAATGGCAAAAATTATGAGGAAGCTTATAACTGATTTCATTGAAGGAAATAGAGATTGGCAGTCAAACTGCAGACAGCCAAGTCTCACAACAAAACACGTGACTACTACTAGAGACTCAGCACTTGGCAAATCGTGCCATTTACTTTTAGCCATCAAATATTATATTAGGAACTCAGGTTTTCCTACCAAATTTCAACAATTTTGTCTCAAATAGTATTATGTCTATGTAAGTGCTGGATATCTCACAGATGACCCTTTTTTTCAAAGTATTCCATGAAAGATCCATTTGGAAAAATGTTGAAACACATGCTTGATTCATGCAAGTTTCCTTCCTTTTGTTACGGAGGCCAGTCAAATCAGAAGGTCCAAAGCACATTCTGAAATCTGAATTGTTGCTGAGTTTAACAATTTCTGCACAGCCACGGAGCCTTTCTGCTAGAACTCATGCTTTGGGAGTTTTATTATTACTTTACTGACAACATCAAAAATGAAGCTATGCAATGTTCAGATGACTTTTGGGTAAATAAGTTCCACATAATTTTCACAAATTTTTTAGATTCATGGGAAAAGCTTTCTCTTGAAACCTCTGCAAAATAGTGCATCTTTGATTTCAAGCTGTATTCTGTGAAAAAAAAGGCAATTATAATTATCTCTCAGACTACCTTATGTTTCAATTAGAAATGCACTGAAAAATATTTACCTCTACAAGCTCTAGGGTTTTTCCTTCATCTTCAGCTTCTGGAGCCACGGGGAAAGCAGATGAGATGGTCACATACAGCAACAGGAGAAGCGAAAGGTTCTTCATCCTCACCTGAGGTTGTCTGCCTCAGTTTCACTCTTGAGCTATTGAATATGATTCCCAGCTCTGTTTATATAGCTAATTTGTAAATCAGTGACAGTCTGACTCATGCTGTATAATATCCTCTGATTAGTAAAAATGATGCATAACAGTTTCATCATCAGGTAGTGATGCAATGTGTTTAACTAATGTTACTATCCTTGTTTTGCCTGAGCCTTCTGTTTTGGACAATTCTGTAGTGTGTTTAATAAATGAGGAAATGCTTTACAGCTAAACTGTGGAGCTACATTTCACAGGTATTTTTTTGAATCATGAATTTAGTCTATTTATGACACAAGGTCTTGACAAACTGGAGAAATTACAGGAAATAACAAATCAGTAACATAATATATAGTGTTATAATGAAAAGCATTATGCTATATATGATACAAATGTTTTAATATTTAACAAAATATAACGTATTGCGTCATAATACATAATAAAAAAATATAAAAGAATGTACAAAGAACTGTTCTTATCTAGGAATAATCAGCATCGTAACTCCAGGAATGCTGTCATCAGCTAACTAAAAAGCTGAAACAATCTTGTGATGCTAAGAAAACTGAGTGCTAAAATGATTCAACATTTTTTACTGATATTAACAAATATCAGTCATGTTACTGGAATGCATAAACTGTGTTTCTCTATGAATGGTAAATAAAGTATTGTTTATACTCTTGTCGTCACAGATAAGGCTTCAGCTGCAATAACGTGTTTGGATCCAGGCAGAGAGATAAGCTCTGATTGGAAAGACTCCATGAAGCCCAAAAGGAATTTTTGTGAGTCTGGAAAAGGTATACTGAGACAACCATTTTGTGACTCTGTGTTCACTGTTTCATTGAGGGAAGAGCCATGATAAATGCTGCTAAGCATATGAAAGGTCTTTCCTGAAAGGGAAGCAGAGACTGTTCTGCAAGACTCTAGAATGGTCTTAAACAACACTGATTAAGTGTAGACATGAAATATAGGATTCAGCTGCCTGATCATTAGTGCTATTTTGAGATGCTCTAGGGAATCCCACCTGACCTCCAGCTGCCCAGGAAGGTTTTAGGTCTCCAAAGCTCTTGTGTCATGGCAGCCAGTCCCAGGTGGGTGTCTCTAGTACAGGCAAATGAGTAATGAGTTGGAATCTGCTTTAAGAGTTTTGTCATGGAGTTATCTAGGTGTCTAAGCTCCCATTTTGGACAATGGATTTTAGGGATTGACCATATGACATGGAGGTCAAGGTAAGATTAATTGCTCTCTATACTTCATTGACTGTATTGGATAGGTCTCTATTAACAATGGTAGAAGTTTAAGTACCTAGAACACGTGGGAACCCACAACGTAGACCTCTAAATTGATGAAAACATTTCTAACTGCAAGGACAGCTAAGCACCAGAGTAGATGGCCTGAAATGGCTGCAAGTTTGCTAACCCTGGAACCTGTTAAATACAGGCTGAACATCTTTCAGAATAGTTTTGGTATTGCTGTCCTTGTTGGAGGTAAAAAGCCTCTTTGGAAAAATTCAAAATGGAAAGAGTAAATGTTAATATGAGGGAGAAAGGCAAATTTGCATCTTATTTTTTTTTTCTGTTTTATGAGCAAGTTTTGCTCTGAAGGAGCTCAATACAGGATGAAAATTTCAGTTGTGCTGGGAAGTACTTCTCTAGTTTCCCAAACATCAGGGAAAAATAATGTACTTAGTATAGGATCCTACACTCACTGAAGTGTAGTGCCCTCCGACGAATGGTGTCTGCTCCGGTCCAGCAGAGCAGACACCATTCCTGGGAGACACAAATTACTTTATAATTTCCAGTGCAAGTCACATTGCTTGTCTGGAGAGATTGACTAAAGCTAATACAGGACATTTCAAAAGCAGAAACAACAGTGCAATGCTGGTATTTGAACTTCAAAGGGTACAGCTTTTGGAGATGTAAAGAGATTCAGCCTCATGGTTCATAGTCCAAGGAAACTTCATTGTTGATTATTCTTAATTTATCTTAATATTTGGACATGCACAAAAAAAAAAAAAAAAATTGCGCGTGTTGGATACTTCTCCAAAGTCTTTGCTATAACTCACATGATCCTGGGATTTGTGAAATGCTGCTTAACTTCTCTAACTCCTAAACTTGTGTTATTTCTCTGTAAATATTTTTCCTTCACATGATTTGTCCTTCATGTGTTTCTGTAGGCTGGTTTTTATAGTTCTTGATTCAATATATTCAATAACTCTTTCTTGTCTCACCCACCCACCCCACCCCCAACTTTGAGAAGTAGATAACTCCGTATTTCTTCTATCCTTCTTTACTTTTATTTTCCGAAGGCATCATAGGCATGTGTAAACATGTACAGGCAAAGAAGGGATGCAAATTAATCAGATGCGTCCAGTGGCTAAGACAGGAATATTAGGAAATGGTTTGTCACGACTTGCACAGGGAGGTTCTGCTGCCTTGCACATTTCTGCAAAGGGTCTTCGGCCAAATTTTAATACAACCAAGAGGATATTGAGTCAGGCAGAGGATAAGAGGACATCTGGTTGTTTTCCAGGAAAGTTTAAATAAATTACTTTCCAAGGCAATCAGTGGCAGGACTAGAAAGCCCTGGACTCCAGCACTAGCTGTGGGAGCTGTTTATGTATTTGAAGAGTCATCAAGTGAAAAACCTTAAACAGCATCAGGAAGAGGAAGCAGAAGCGGTGGCTTCCCTCAGACTTGGGAATTTCCACAGTGATGGGCTACAAAGTCATGTCGCGTTTCACCGTCTGCGTTGGCTTCCTACTGCGTGTTCTCCAGCACATCTCCCTCAAACGGGGGTATGGGAGGTTTCAGTCATCTGCTCTTCCCACGGTGTAGCACTTAGCACATTCCCACCCTCTCCTTTTCAAACACTTGCCTTCAGACAAAAAGCTCAAAACCCAACAGAAGGAGACATGAATATACCAAAATAAAACTGAGACCCCTCAAAATACTGAGTCCCTACCAATGTCTACACAGTCCTTGCCTTTGCTTGCAGGATCATCGTGTTGCACCTGCACCTGACCAGCACAGTCCATTCTGGCCTCTCACTAAGCCCCATTTCTATTTTCCCAGGCTAAGGATTCTGTCCTGTGTGTAGGGGTGTGTGGGGGTCTTAGTGACAGCCCCTGGGGTTGGACCAGGACCTGGAGGCCCCTGTGGCTGTGGTGGTGTGACTGGAGAGAGCAGGGTGCATGCATGTTGACTGGGAACACATGTATGTGTGTGAGCACTAACGAACATTCGGCTGGGTGAGCCAGGGAGTAGGGTAAGAGCTGGGTTTCAAAGCAGCTGTAAGCGAGGGCTGGATACTGGGGAGACCAGCGTTTTGTGGGTTGGCTACTGGAGGGATCAGGGGCCCAGCCAGCAAGTTGGGGAGGCTGTGGTATCTGGGGTTGGTGGAGACACCTGTCTGTGTGAGTGTGCATGAGGCCGCAGGAGACAACATCACATCCTGGAGCAGCTGCTGGGTGGACAGGGTGTCTCAGCCCAGCTGCGGCGGGATCCATTGTGTGTGTGTGTGTGTGTGTGTACTGGTATGTGCGTGTGTGTACCTAAGTGTGCGTGTGCCTACTGGGAATGGACACACAGCCTCGCTGCTGGCTGGACCTGAGGGCATGGGGCTGTGGCAGCTTCATCTCTATCAGACTACCACATCTGGACTACTCCAAACACACTGGCCCTGCCTGAATTTTGCCTAAAATCTCCATGTAACCAATGGAGAGAGGTAGACCTTGTCCTTACCTACCCCCAGTTGTTTTTCAGAGGCAGCTTTTGCCTGGACTGTGAGCATCAATACCTCATTCAGGTCTCCCCAGATCACCCCGTGAAGTCTGGGACCTGTCTGCTAAGTCACTGCTAAACCAGAACTGCCTGCCTAAGGAAGAGGGGGTTGACACTGCTGTTAAGAAAGGGCTAGCATTTTCAAGGGCTTTTCCATTGTACCTCCAGGCAGTAGGGGGTCATGTCTCCCTGTATTAGCAACAGTCCTGCTTTATTTGTACACTTTTCAGCAAAACTGTACCCTTGATATCTGTGTTGAGAAACCTGAAAGTGTCCATTTTCCAGATACTCTACTCCCCATTCCTCGTTCATTAAGTCTGCACGGGAATGTCAGCACTGCCAGAAGTCTACCCAGCATGTTTCCTCTTTCCAGCATTGACTGAAAAGGACATTTAGGGAGAAATGTAACACGAGCCCTATTTCCCCAGAACTGTTTACCAGCCTCAAACAATTTTCTGTCTCAGTGATTTTCACTTACTTTGTACCTCACTTACCTAAGGCTTACATTTGACTTTTCAGGTTATTTCTTCTTTCCCTTAGTTATATCTGATAATATTAAAAAAACGTTCTTCTATCTTTTGTCCTTCTCTTCCTAGGGAGAAATATCCACCCACACTCTTTACTAAGCAATGAAAAAATAAATTCACAGTCTAAATCATAGTGGAGTTTCCCTAAATTAAAGTCTCTTACTACAGAATTACTGTAGAAAAGGGAACTTTGATTGGTAGTTCTGTAATTCTAATATTACAAAAATTAAATTGGTGCTTCATAATTCTGAGTTGTTTACTTTTATAATTTTTCACAATGATGTTTGCAATTGCTTTCTCAGTAGCAGGTGGCACTATAAAGTAGTGTCACCATTCTTGCGGGAAGTACTTTTATGTCCATTCTGTTCTCTTATCCATGTCCTAATCTCTTCATGTGTTTATAATCTATTTTGAAGAAACAAAGTAAAAATCTTTCTGTAAACCCAGAATGTTATCCTGAAACAGAGTATTTTCCTTGAAGGATGTCACTTTTCATGAAGTGTCTGAAGTGTCAAAGATACAGATCATGTCACTTTGCAGCAATATTCAGCTGGTTGCCAGGTATTCACATGAAGTCAAAGAATTCATTAGGAATTTTCTCTTAATAAGCTAACTACATTTTAATAGTGACATGAAAAAGTCAAAGGCAACCCTTCAAGTT